TATATGATGAAAAAAAGTAAAAAATAAAGAAAATTAAAAATAAAGATTTAAAAAATGTAAACAAATATCAAAGAAAATTAAAAAAAAAATTTGAAAATTTAGAAAGAATTACGTCTAAAATTCCAAAAATTCTCTTTGCGCCTGTACTTTTTTCCACAAATGTTGAGCCTTATAGGACAATGCCAGTAATGGGCTTTTGTTCTGACAAAACTTATTTAGGACCAAACTTGTTTTGGCATCTACTGATCGTTAACCAAATTTTCAATATAATTCAACATTTTATTGTTGTTGTTGTTGTTCTTATGACGGTAGAAAACATCCCTGCCAAATACTATAATTCAATATTTTACAACGCCACGACAGTCAGTCGGCTCTAAGTAAACGGCGCGGACCCGGATTGCTATCCGGCCAAGGACTCCCAACTCGGCGTCATACCTCGAAATTACTTTAGGAGTATCTTCTGCCGCTACAACAACAACAAATCCAAACTACATCAGCTCTACAAAAAAAAAATCTCAAAGCATACTTTTGCGCGCAAACACTTATTGCCTCGTATATTGTTCTAGCGGCACAAACTATACCGCACATAATTTTGAGGAAAACTACCAAGTCAACAGTCTTCGGGCTGTTAAAAATCCGAATCTCTTTCTTTTATGAAAACCCGACTAGCGAACGAACAACAGCCGTTGAGCACTCGGTCACTTCGGGTACACCTTCAGCATTACATATTTTCATAGCTGGGTTATACACAGTTATTTTTCGCGCATAATTAATAAACTTAATTTATTTCAAACGATAATACACGCTGTTGAGTAGCGCCGGCGCCGACCATGTCGTATGTCAATTTTGACGCCCTTCTTTTAAAAGCTTTATAATTAATTTGCTAAGCAAAATTATTAAAAATGCGCATAATTTGTCAACGATCCGTGGTTTTGTTGTCTTACAACGAATTCCCATAATTAGTGATCAGCAGACACCGGCAATGATTGACAGATTTGCGCTTTGTAGAATCTAAAAAGACACCACCGCATCTATACCGGATATATTTATACATTTGAACATATATATACATAATGTATGTATGTGTATTTACATCCATTATATAAACAACAAAACCATGTGCCGCTGCTGCATTGCGATCTCTCGTGATCTATTCATTCATGCTTGTTTGCTACCATTGTATGTGTGTAATCACATACATATACACCGACAGCGAACACTTTAAAAAATCATGCTTACACATTTGTGGTTTATTGTTTTTCCTGTTGGCGTGGGCGTGCTGTCGCGCTCTTTAATTAATCAGAGTCAATTGAGAGTTCAAGTGGTATGTTGTGAAGGGATTTTTGCAATTAATTGCAAGCTCTTAGCGAGTAGTTGACCGCAAATGAGCTATTTCCAAGCGGAAATCACATTTTCAATGGTTTAAGAAAAAAAATCAAATCAAACTCTAAAAATAAATAAATATACGGAATTTACAAAACAAAAAAACTAAATAAAACCAATTAATATTAAATAAAGTACAATTCTAACTACACATATGAACGTATACAAATAAAAAACGTTTGGGAGTGTGCAAAAGTACCTTAAGAAATGTTGCTCGAATTCCAATTTTGATTGAAGGAAAGTATTGCATACATTTAGGCATTACACAAAAAGTGCTAGCGTTAGTTGTTCACTTATTTACACACAATTTTTTCTATATATATATTTTTTTTATATATTATATTAATTTTCTAAATATTAAAACAGCATACTACAAATATTTAGGAGTATAGTGACTTGAGGCGCTGTAAAGAAAAAAAGTTGCTTATTAAAATGAAAGAAAAGAAATTTTAATAAATGAATATACCAACTTAGTTTTTTCTGGCTAGCAGACAAACATTTTCCAGTGTCACATCACGCGTCACATAGTATTTAAGCTCTGCTTCATAGCCATGTTCTCTCAAATATTGCAGACGTCCATAGTCAAGTATGCGTTTGCACATGTCACCAATGCGCTCACGCTCAGACAAACACAGTCGCTGCATCTTACTGGCATCGATAACTTCCACGGGAGTTTGTGCTTGCTCCTCAAGCGCGCGTCTACGTTCCCGGCTCATACCGGTACCACATATTGCCCAACTAGCCATTTTGCTAATCACTGCAAAATCTCGGCACGTTAACCCGTTCGCTTGCAGGAAGCTTTTACCCACATACGCTTGCCAATCGCAGCGGTGATGACAACATAGTGCTATGAGTATATAGTCTGTTTTTGGTGTTTTTTTATTTGAGTCCTCAGTTGCAGGTTGGGTAATGCAACGCAAAGTCAAATCGGTAGCAGCGCCACATAAATGCTTTGATACGGCTACGCAACGCTTCGAGCGATGTAACAGCTCCAGTCTGCTCATACGAAAATCAGCAATATCTGCACGTATACGATGCACCAATGTTCGGTCTTCGATCTTATTGTCTTTTTTGTGACGCAGCGACATACGGTCAACAAGCACTACTTGAGAATCAGGTATTGTTTCTAGCAGTTGTGCTAGATAAAAAGTCAACTGACCCTTACCAGCACCAAACTCTATGTAACTTGTGCTTTGTTGTAGTTGTTGATCGTTATCAAGTATTCCCAGTAGCGCCGCTGCCTGCAACAAATGCTTTCGCGCTTCCGGGCCATATGTGATGTTAGCCAGTTCTGCGTCCAATAACTTATGACTACATTCAAGTGACGTTATTTTGTTTTCAACAAATTTTGTATATAGCTTTTTAATACGTGTTACAATGCCGTAGAATTCTTCATCGGGTAACTCATTTATTCTTAACTTGGTATAATCCGGTGCATCGCTATCAACTTCACCAGCATTTATGCCCTTATCAATATAAGCCGGTGTATCACCTTTGTCGCGTGCATTACATATTTTAAGATGTTTTTGTAGTTTATTCTTAAATACAGTATGTTTTGAGTCCAATGGACATGGTATCCGAGTGTTATTTGCGCTTGCTACATCTTGTTCAGGTGATGCTTGAGGAACTGCGGGTTGATGTTCTCCACAATATTTTTCTCCTGTTTTTACTGTCATTTTACAAAACCGTTTCTTACGATGCACCCAATGCGCGCAATTTGTTGTATTTTCAGCGGCATTTTCTTCAGTTTTAGCCTTTTTTGCCTCCACTTCGGAACCCATCACTTTTCTTGTATTTCTTATATTTTACAAAACAACGTGTCAGCTGTTAATTGTTGGTACAGAGTGATCAATGCAAATGAAAATTAAACCTGTGTTACAGTGTTCGGTAAATAACCGAACCAACCACGGCAGCTGATTAACTTATATAAAATACAACAATCAATTTATTTTTATTTTGTTATCAAACATGAATTGATAAAGCATTTTTAAATCTATAATGATGCAAAATATGTACTTCTACTATTTTTCTGTATTTCTATAATGATGCAAAATATGTATTTCTTCGGCTGGCAATATCGCTGATCGCTCAACCTTTGGACCTGTCATTTATTGCAGGGTGCATATTCTAATTTTGGAAGACCAATGTGGAAAAGTTTGGTGATAGTAAATTAATTCATTAAAGTGCCTTTTAAATTTGTGGAAATAACATTCAAAAATGTCTCGTGTCCTTGTTGGAGTAAAGCGTGTGGTCGACTATGCCGTAAAGGTAATTGAAATGTTGTAGGATATAAACTAAAAACGATTTGTTTGCGCTTGGAGCTTATCAATTCTACTTTACGCTTATCAACCTAACTTTTGCGTAATCAAAAACACGGCAGCCGATCGCAAATTTATTATGCCAAATAATTGAACTTAAAAATATACATATGTATATATATTTTTACAGGTACGTGTTAAGCCTGACAAAACTGGTGTGGTCACCGAGGGAGTGAAACACTCAATGAACCCTTTCGATGAAATCGCTGTAGAAGAGGCTATTAAACTAAAAGAAAAGAAGATCGCCTCAGAAATCATCGCTGTTTCAGTGGGTCCAACACAATCTCAGGAAGTGATACGTACTGCTTTAGCAATGGGCGCTGATCGTGGAGTACATGTTGAGGTTTCGGGCAAGGACTACGATTTATTGCAACCAATTCATGTTTCTAAGATTTTGGCTAAGTTGGCCTTAGACGAGAAAGCGGACTTGATAATCGTGGGTAAACAAGCCATTGACGATGACAGCAATCAGACAGCACAAATGACCGCTGCCGTTCTCGATTGGCCTCAGGGTACTTTTTGCAACAAAATCGAAAAAACCGATGCTGGCTTGAACATTACACGCGAAATCGATGGTGGTTTGGAAACAATAAAGACAAAGATTCCAGCTGTATTGAGCGCTGATTTACGTCTAAATACACCACGCTATGCAACATTGCCAAACATAATGAAAGCCAAAAAGAAGCCATTAAAGAAAGTTACACCAAAGGATTTGGGTGTTGATACCACACCGCGCATTGAAGTTGTCTCCGTTGAGGAGCCACCTGTGCGCCAAGCTGGTGCTTTGGTGCCAGATGTGGATGCCCTTGTTGGTAAATTGAAGGAAGGTGGACACATCTAAACATATTGGTGTTAATTCAATGAAATTTAAAAAAGTGCATTTATAAAATTTAACTGATATTTTGTTCTTTTACCCCTTTTTATTTACTTTACCCTATTAAAAATCGTAGAAAATTTAAACAATAATTTACTTTGTGTATATAAATAATTAGTATTGTATAATTAATTGGAAGTAGAAAATAAATTACGTGTATATTTTTGTATTGCGAATTGGAGCAGCTAACTAAGCGGTTTGATTGTTCATAAAATTCGTGATTTTTACTATTCACACAGTAGATACTTGTATTCTGCGTTTTGTTCAAATTTGGCGTCCACGACTTATTTAATTCAATATCATTGTCATCTAATTAGTTATGTTGAAATGACGGAATGCTGTATCTTCCCCATAAAAGGCAACTATTCGAGGTCAGGGTCGTTACAAAAACATTTAAGGAATTATAAATTTGTATAAATTGTCTTTATTTATATTGGATCAATTACAAATGGCAGTATATACTATAAATATACACAGACTTTGTACATAGCGCCCAAAGGATCTTGTTAAATTTAAAAGTGGCTCCTTTTTTGAAAAGTACAAAAAACTATATTATATATCGATTAATTCTTAAAAATTAGTTGTTTGCAACAAATAGCATAATTTAAATGACATCAAAAAAAATTTGTCTACGAAACGGAGTATTATTGATAGAAATTGACATGTTTATATCTTAGCACACACATGCATACGAATGTGTTTAGTTATGATTTTTTTTATGTAGGTATATAGAATGCCGTATAATATCTAAAAATGCTCAGTAGATTACGCTTAATTCGTTGCTGATATTAAGCAAGTAAGTCTTATACTAGAATTTGAAGTTTGCACAAAACGATTTGTGATTTCACTTGTTCATTAATACATAAAGCATCTGTAAAATAACATGCTTATCGCAAAGCCCCCTTTTCGCCGAAACGTAAAATGCGAGTTAACATTGTGGTAATGCATGGTATCTGTTTCTGTTGATGCATTTCTGGATTATCCGGGGTGCACGACTCAAAATCGACCGCAACCCGTTGACACACAAAAGTCAACAATGTTAGTATATCCAAACGTTTACCATTGGCTGCCAACTCGGCGCAAAGTGATTGCATAAACCAAGAGCCGCGTGTTGTATTGCGCCATGAGTAAAATCCCGGTATGGTCGAGTAGGCAATCAAGAAATCGGCATGCAAAGGAATTTTGTAACTCATTGACGTCTCACCATCTGTTTCCGTACGATTGATACGTTTCATTGTGACACCAGGATCAAGTCGATCACCTTGGCAAGCTTGGATGAAGAAGAGTTTGGGTTTGCCACCCAAGCTGGGGCAATGTTGTGGTGTAAAGTATGACCAAATTTGATCTAATTTGTATTGCGCATCCTTTGCGTATATATAACCAAGTTCGCCGTGCGAAAGTATCGCAACCAAAATGCAATCATTATCCCGGTGATCTTGTTGGGAAGCCCACTCTATATGCTGTTTCAACTGTTTGAGGCTGCAATCTTTAAACACTTTCACATCAAAATCCAGTTGTTTAAGCACTCGTGCTAAATTTTCACAATCCACATTAGTGCCTGCACGCGACTTTAATGTTGGTACTTCGAAATTTTCATGATTAAATATCAACGCCATTCCACGATTTTTGTGTCGCATATTATATTCAGCTGCATGGCGATCGGCTACCATATTCGCTGTGTAACTATGATAGCTACTGCCAAAGCCATTTGCAAGTTGGCCTATTGCACCACCACCAAACGTACCACCGCTGCTACTAGCACCAGTATAGTATCCACCTGAACTACTATTTGAAGAACCGGACGCTGAATTTAGCGAACCGAAGGCGTCTATTAAGTCGTTTGTTCGACCAACTTGATCCTCTGACACGCTCATTGTTGTTTGTAATTTTGTTATTGTTCGTAAAATTTGTAGAAGTTTCAAAAAAAAAAGCTGTTGGAACCCTTTAAGGAGATGACTCACTATATTTCTATGTATATACGTACACTTTGTTTTAATTTGAAACGAAATATTAATAAAACTTCACGTCCGCTCGTTTACGTTGCTTGTTGTATTTTGATGCTTTTTGTGTGCGCGTTCTTTTATTCAAACGCTTGCATCTTTCTTTTGTTTGCAATTTTAATGCAGTTGTCAAATAGCGATAAGCAGGGTTGTATTTGTGCTTCAAGTGAATTGATGTTGTATCGAAATCATAATATTCGGTAGGATAAACCGAATTTTTGCTATTCGACTATACATGTGAGTTACATAAATATGTCTATATTGTGATATGAGAATTTTTTATTAGTTTAACTGTTTTATAAAAATAATAAAAAGAGCCCTTATTTTACAAATTTGCTAATATTTCCATTTTACCGTAACAAAATAAGCGAATCGTTAACCGAAGTCGAAAAATTTATTTCTAAACTTGTTTATATTAATTTAATTGTTTTATAAAAATAAACATTATTATTGTTTTGCACGAATTAACCTTACTAATTATTCCTTAAATATTCGCTGTCGAATTCTTTGCGCTCAAGAATAATACAAACGAGGGGGTTTTATGTGCCCCAGAGGAGTAAATTCAGGCAGAAAGTGTGTAAAGTCATGTCAGTGTCCAACTAGAGTTTATCGATGGAACTGTATAGATTTCTATGTTTTTAATTTTGATAAGAATTTATTGCCGCAAGCCTTTTAAAAACATTATACATTATTAACAGATAGGCTTTAACTGATAAATTGATTGATATTGTAGTATGGTTATTAAAAGAAACCCCCGAAAATAATTCACAACTATTTATACTATCGCAACATGCTGCAAAGAGCATATAAGCATTGTTGAAAAATTAAAATTTTAGAAACTTTATAGAAGGAAGAAATGCTATCCTTATGAAACATAGTCAGTACCATTTTGGCGTACTCCACCGGGTAACTCATTCCACAAAAGAGATACCGAAACAAAATTTATGAAAAATCCTTTTTCTGAGGACATAAATATAGCTTTCTGAGGGTTTTATCGAAGATAGTGAAAGAGTGCCTAAAGTTCTTAGTGGATCTAACATCTTATTTCACGCTAAACCTACAATGGGTTGCAGGACATATTGATATTCCTGGTAACAGTGAAGCAGATGACACAATTAGATGCCGATAGAGGGGGAGTTACTATATATGTATGTCTCTGAGGAGTCAATCTCTAAATTGCTCAAAAGGCAGGCAAAAGTGGCAAGAATGAAATACGGGAAAGGTACGACAGAAGGTCTCTGATAGAAGTGCTAACAGGTCACTCTCTTATTGGCAGACATGCCATGCTGACTGGGAATACCAAACCACGACCATTGTAGAAACAGCCAATAGGTGGAAGAAAAAGAGACTGAAGATCGTCTTCTGTGCGAGTGCTTTCCATGGAAAAATGTTCACAACTCTCGGTGGAGGGTCCTCGACAATATCTCGGTAGTTGCACAAATAAAACTTTTTGTACTGACGAACTTCATCCGGGACACAGGTTTTTTTTGGGTAAAACCTTTTATGAAATTATACATTCTTCATTTTAATCCAATATCCTTTTGCAGAAGATTGATTCCACGCTCATTGCAGGAAAAAAATGTAAGATTCGCTCAACCCAAAAATTTTACATACAACGTAACAAGTAAGAAGTAGAAACAGAAGGTGCCAAATCTGGAGAACTGGAGTCACATCTATAGCACATCTCCTTCAAGCTGCTAGAGCTTTTGCGGAGCCATCAAACTTTTCTATTGATCATTTCTGGCTTCTTCTGTGTGAAGGTTTCACTCATTTTGTTCAGCTGAATACTTCAGAATTAATCGTCGGACATCGCCTTCAAAAGACCTTTCAGGACGTTTTGCATCCTCAATATCGAAATTGTCGGAACGAAATTTGCCAACTAAATTAGTTAGGCAATGGCGTTCGGTCAAAACATCTCCGCGCAGATCACATAATTCCTCCTTGCTTGAACTGCGTTTTTACCCTTTCGATGGCAAAACAGTCTTCGTAGGGCTTAAACAAAAAATATTACCAACAATTTACGAAAATTTATTACAAACAAGCCCTTCTATCAGCTGTTCAATTATAAAACGGTAAAGCGATTAAGTGTGAAGTTGGCTGCAAAGTAATTCAATAGACAGCTGTTGTCATCAAACGAAATTGCTTAATGAACGACCCAATATATATATAAATGATCTTATATCTAGGTCTCTATACTAGTGTAATGCAATCAAGATATTAACCTAATTATATTATAAAAAAAATATATAAAAACATGTTTTATCGATGTAATTCGAATGAACTACTCATATTCGAAAACAAGCCCACTTCCTGCGGAGTTCCGCTCGATCCATTCGTCGAAGCGTTTCGATAATTCCGCTGTTAAATAATTTCGCCAATCACCTATTTTGCCCTTTCGTATGAATTTACTTTCAACACCGCTTTTATCGATGTTATTGTTGCGACCATCGTCGACATTATTCAACAAGGGCTCTAAATTCACGGCAGGGTTCGCCTGCATTTTGTCAAATTTCAAATGCTCACAAATGCGCGCTAAGTCCTCAGCGGTGAGTTGATAGTTCACATTGAGAAATTTAGCACAACGACGTACGATTTGCGGTAGATCGTGTTTCATGTCTTCGTATTTCAAAAACAATATGTTCGGATCATTGTGACGCTGCCAGAAAGGTAAAACGTGATTCCAATATGAGCCCATTGGCGAGCGTTCATCCAGGAAAAGCTCAAGAAAGTCTTCGAAGGGACCTTTGAGGCCATGCACCAACTTGCAGTAGTGATAGAAAGAGACGCAGAGGTCTTTCGGATTGCGCGCGGTGTAAATAATCTAAGAAATATATAAAGTAACAATTATGTACACAAAATTATTGGGTTTAATTGAGTTCAAATCGGTTAAATTACTTTGGGTTTCACAGTATCGAAACCGCGCGGCAGCAAGTCCCACGTAAGATGTGAACGTCCAAAACGTGGACGTGGCATATTGCGCACAACATCAACGGTGTTGCCAATCGAGTTTCTACATAAGTTATGCCGTGTTAG